TGAGTGGACATATCTGTATTACACTTTCTTTTAGATAACCTCATCTATAATTGTCCTCTGATGTGAGAAGCATAGTGATGTACCCTGTGAATCACATTTAATTGTACATAATTTTTAATACAAATTTTACTAACATTTTAAATCTATATAGAACTACCTTGTAAATCAAAGTTGTGTGGGCATTTGTGCTTTAAAAAAATAAAAGGATACAAAAAAATTTTGTAAATTGGTTATTTAAAGGAGTCATTATGAAAAATCAATTATATAAATTTATAATAAAATAAGACAAGGACAATACTCAGAAATGATTAATTCCTAATTCTTCTGGTGCATTTGACAATTTTCTACACTTGAGGTTACTTATGTGTACTGACTTTGCAAGGTGCCCTCCTGCACATCTGTCCAAGCCTACGTTTGATGACACTCTTAGAATAACTTGAAATCAGCCAGGACAGGAACATTTACACCAGAAAGGCCTTCCTTTCCAGAGAGCTGGTCAGTAAGCATTTACCAACACACAGCTGGCAGCATGACCTCTCAGTGGGATGACAGTGACTGGTTTGAACACGAGCTGAGGCAGATCATAGAAGATCAAAGCCATGAGAAGGCTGGGGAAACAGAAACGGGATATGCCAAAGAAAAAAAGAAAAGAAAGGGAAAAAAAGAAACATTATTTGTCAACATAATAGCTTTAAGGATAAGAAAATGGAGTTCAGGACTGTCTCAGTGCTGGTGGCCTCTGGTGCCTGGCTAGAAAGCTGAGCTTTCGGGCAGTAGCGAAACCGCCGTCTAGGTCAGTGCGCTACTCTTGCTTGCAGCTGGCCTGGACACGAAGTCTTCCTTCCAGTTGTTAACACCACTGGGAAGAGCTCTGGGCAAAGCAGTAAATCCCTTGCTGCTTCCTGAAAGATTGTACACTAAATAAACCCAGGGACTTGTGTGACCCACTTAAGACAAACAAACCATGGCTCGGGCCATTTTCAATGTAAAATAGGCATCTAGGGACAGGCTTTCAGTTTTTGGAGACTATGCGCAAGAGATAAGCAGGGATTTATTATTGAATAAATAATGGTTTATGCAGTATCTACACTGTGCAAGATATTTCGGAATGTGGAATTATAAAACACAGAGGTAGCTGGGTGTGATAGAGCATGCCTGTAATTCTAGCACTTGGGAGGCTGAGGCAGGAGGCTCCCCAAGAATTTGAGGCCAGCCTGGGGTACACAGTGGATGCTAGGCCAACCTGCACTACAAAGCAAGACCCTGTCTCAAAAGAAAACAAAATAAAAGAAACAAAAACCCCAAACAGTACTAATAAGATGTGACGTGTCGGGGCTGGCGAGATGGCTCAGTGGTCTAAAGCACCTACTTAGAACAAGCTTAGCAAAGCACAGGGACCACGGTTCAATCCCCCAGCACACCACATGCCAGCCAGCCCCGCCCCCTGGTGGGCTGAGCTGGCCACACACACACATAAATAAATAAA